CCCCCTCCCCTCCCCCCACCTGAGGCACCGGCCTTCACTCCCAGCACTTCATCTCCTGCTTGCTAGAATCAGCACAGAGGTGATAAAAAACGTGGCGAATGTTTAAAAGTGCATCACAGTGAAAGATGCATGGCCACAAATCCCCTCAAAATCCTCCCCCCTGCTTCAAACACTCACCCAGAGTTCTCACCACTTTCTGAAGCTGCTCTGGAGTCCTCTCTCCCTAGTGTCTGAACGAGATGTGCTAAAACATACAGGGGATGCCGCTGCCAAACGCCATCCAACAGAAAGGCCGGCTCAGAAGAATGTGACGGTGTCCTCATCTACCTTTTTCACTGGATCTGGAGCCAGGCGACTTCTCTCATCCCCAAAGTGAGAATGATCATACCAGGCAAACTTTTTTGTGGCGGGGGTGGGGGGTCAGGGCCTTGCTATGCAGCCCAGGCTGGCCTTGAACTTGCAATGATCCTCCTGCCTCAGCCTCCCAAGTGCTTCGATTATGGGTGTGCAGCACCACGCCCAGTTTAAAGTCAAGGTTTTGAGTTGATTTAGGACATCGACGCAGCCACGGCAGTGCCACTAAAGATGCTGCAGATAGGTGGCAGTGCTCTCTGGTGGCTCCTGAGTAGCTCCCGTCCACACGGCTGGCAACCAGGGTGAGGTAGGCTGGCTTCCCTCTACTTCCCGGCCTCGCAGACTCCTGTAAATCCAGCGCCCTCTTAGTGTCTCTGTGACCTGCAATCCCGCCAGGTGGGGAGCTGCTCTCCTGTAGTGCGTCCCCCACTCCTGAGACACGCACTGTGTGTCTGTCTTCCTGACCAGGCCCCAGACACAGAGGCAGCGATGGCAGGAAGACACTGGCACCGGACCCTTTGGGACGGCACAGAGGAGACCGCTCAGGAATGACTCACGGAAGAGTCAGGCATGGACTCACACATGGGACTCCTTTAGAAAGTATAAACACCGGCAACACAGAGGTAGCTTTCATTTTTGTCTATTTATTTATGTAGGTTTTTTGAGACAGGGTCTTGCTATGTAGCCCAGGCTGGCCTTGTTGATCCTCCTGCCTCAGCCTTTGGGTGTTGGGACCACAAGCGTGAGCTAACACACTTGCTATGGTTGATGACTTTGACCAGTGTCAAAGCTACTCAGTGGAAAAAGGAGTCTTTTCAACAAATGTTACCAGAAAACGATCTCCGTGTGCAAAATAATGAGGATGGGCCCTAGCCTGACACCACACCCAAAACTTAATTCAAAATGGGTCACAGGTCCGGAGATGTAGCTCAGTGGTTCTGCCGCCTGCCTCCCAAGTGCAAGGGCCTGAGTTCGATTCCTGGTACCAAAATGGGCCACAGCCCTAAAGGGAAGACCTGAACCCTAAAATGCTTGGACAAAAGCAGAGGGCTGAAACTTTACATTGGGTTTGGCAACGAGTTCTAGGTGTGACATCAAAGGTACAGTCAAAGAAATAAAGACAAAGTGGACTTCATGGAAACTTCTATTTTGTGCATTAGAAGACAGTATCGATAGAGTAAAAGGACAACTCGTAAAATGGGGAAAATACAAATCGTACATCGGACAAGGGACAGAGTTCCAGAGCACGCAGGGCCCGCGGGTCTCAGACGCGGCTCCGCTGCCCGGGACCTCAGGGCGCAGGCCCTGGGCTGGGCTCCCGGGTGAGACCAGCCGTTCAGGTCTGCGGTC